TTTGCGCAAGGCCATGATCCAAGACGGAACTTCACAACCTGATGTTGACATCACATTAGCTATATTCCGAAGATATGGAATATCTTCCTCTGTGTAGAAAGTAATAGCTTCTCCACTCCTCCCTGCTCGTCCGCACCGACCTTCACAGAAAAATTACAAACAGATTCAGTGGCACCGTAAAATAATTCCCCAAAAACAAATTCAAATAGTTGTAGCAATAACGTGAAGTAGCCTTGCACTGCTTGTCTCGGGAAAAAGTGATACAATCAAGTGACTACTACATAAAACAACAGAAGTACTTCAATTTGATAAATAAATTCTACAAATTATGAAGTGATGGTTGAACCAACAAATAAGTCTTACGGAACAAACCCAAAAAGTATCATATTTGTTCGATAGCTTTCCAAATTAATCATCTACCAAATTTTCTATTAATACATTCTCATAAACCATATATGATATGTCTTCTATAGAATTCTTTTCTGAAAGAAACTACTGACCGTTGTAAATTTAACACATTCCATATTTCATGTACAACGTTACAATCATAGGGATGAGGAGACATACCAATCCTGTGAATGTACGCAGCTGCAGAATCTGGAAAATCATAATTAATTACACAGTTGACACCTTTGAAATCCATACCCCGAGCAATAACATCAGTGGCAATTAAAACCCATGTTTTCCCAGCTCTGAAGTCATCTACAGCATTTTCTCGCTGTATTCCAATTTATAATTAGTATAAAGATGGAAAAATTGTTCAAGTATAACGTATGTAACATGAGAAATCGAGCATGATATACAGTTACAAGTGACTAAACATTACACAGGCCCAAGTACTAGTAGTGGAATTCCAATGTAAAATGAAAATGCTAGAAAGAAAATGTCAAAATTCCAGTTCTTTCTTATTTTCATGCAAACCTCCTCGGGATACACAGATATTCAGGCCCAGCCTTTTTCACGATACCATGAAAACAAGTGCATAATCAGGTCTTAACATCAGTTACGGTTTTTTTTCCTTAATTATACACTTATGCCGAGCCATAGGATTAAGGCTGATCCTCTGATAACAGTGGGAATAAATTACCTGTGCTTGGAACATATCAGAATGTATGGCACCAACTCTTATGTTCTCAAACAAGAGTTCTCCGTAGAGTTCCTTAGCTCGCTCCTTGCTTTGTACAAAGATCAACACTGGTGGATTCAGACTCTACTAACAATATAAAACAATAACAAGAAATTGGTCAGCAAATAAAACTGACCCAGGTGAAAGTCTGGAATGTTAAACTGACAAAAGATATATGTCAAGTACGTGGATTAAATGATCTAATAATTGGTGGTTATTCAGTAACATTTGGTTAACTTCTACACAAAATTCCTCGTTTGGTCGTTATCTAGATCTTGTAGCTTTTTCAAAATTGCAAGGACGTACACTAGATAATAGCCTTATTCAATTAAAACTAGGTACAAAACCATATGAAGTGCCCTTGGAATACTATTGGATACACAATGAGGACTTGTATTTCATATCATAATTGAACTGGATCCTAAAGCAGTTATTTAGAAGAGGTTCTTAAAAGTAAAATGTTGCCTCTATCATACCTCCTTAAAGCTTTGACGAAGTGCTAACAGCTTCCCCTCTTCACTTCCAGCAAAGACCAATTTTTGCTTGATAGTCTCAGAAGCAGTATTTCTGTATGAAAACATATGAAGAAAAGATGCAAATCAATGGAACCACTGATGCAAGTCAAGGGAGCCACTCCATGATTTTCAACAAGATAAAGTCAAACTCACTTCCTGCCAATGATAACTCGAACAGCATCATGCATTATAGTGCGGGCAAGCTCCTCAACGAAATCAGGTAAAGTAGCACTAAACAAGGAGCGAATAATTGAAGGGTTTGAACATGCTTTGACCACAGAGTCAATCTGCTTTAACAAGCCAAGCTCAAATAGCTTATCAGACTCATCCAACACCAGATACTCAACCCTGTATAACACAAAATATTTAAGAGGAAACATAATCAATGTATCTGAAGTTTGTGTAGTGCTTCAAAGACTAACTAGTCTTGTTATTCATCAAATTCACTTCTTGAGCCATTTTGAAAATGATCATTTTGCCCCAAAATCTCATTTGTACACATTGATTTCTTGTTTCTACCAGCCTCTTTGAGTTTCTATGAACAAAAGATGAACACACCTGCTTAAATCAACCTTCTTTTTCCGGATAGCCAACCGTAACCGAAGTGGAGTAGAAATGAGTATATCACAGCGTATTTTTGAAAAATCTGCATTTCTTGCCAGGTCTTTAGTCATTAATTTGATGTAGAATTTATTTCCTTTTGCCATCTTTTTGCACTCTCTGGTTGTCTGAGCAGCTAATTCTCGTGTAGGACACAGAATAACAGCTCGGATGCCATCCTTAGATGTATTCTGGTTATATGGGAAAATTTTCATCAGAAAAGCTCAGCCATCAACATTTGCAGACAGAAACAGTTGAATGCATGAGCAATACCTTAAGTTTCATTAGCAAGGGACAAACAAAAGCAAGGGTTTTTCCAGATCCAGTCGGAGCACAAGCAAAGCATTCCCGACCCTAAAATAAAAACGATGACAAAGTCGATGAGAACATCTTTCAAAACCACATGTCAACCCATGCTGAAGTACTGCTGAAACTGAAGCCTTATAATAACCAGGTGATCTCTTACAAAACAACATAAACTTTACAAGAGTAGCAGATAGCATAGGTAAGAGACCATACAGATAAGAGGACTGGAATAGCCTGCCTTTGGATTGGCGTTGGTTCTTTAAATCCAAGTTCCGCCAAATTCTGAAGTAAATATGGCTCGCACCCATATCTAAAAATAACCAAAGATTAGCTCTCATTTCAATCATATTATCATACGCAATAGCAAGCTTATAAGCGAGAAAGCTTAGAAAATCTATTCAGCATTCATAGATATCCTACCTAAGAAACACTAAAATAAAAAGAAAATAAGGAATATACCTAGAGGTTAAGTCCGCAAAACTATCAAGCGGCGAAGGGACGTTATTCCCGTTCACATGAATGTTATACTTCTTTCGCAGCAGCGAATCCCGCTGAATCACAATGAAAAGTATAAATCCTTGAACTTTAATTTAAGCACAAGGAAATTAACGAACACGAAAAAGATGAAGGAACTAGAAGCAAAACCTCAAGTTGCCTATTTAACTCCTTCTTCTGCTCGGATAGTTCATTTCCAGGCTTCTCTTTCTCCGCTTTCGCTGCCTTCGCCATTTTTGAGGTCTTAAAGACACTAATCCCCTCCACACCCTCTATTCCATCACAAAATCAAACAAATCATTAGCAAAAATAAATCTCAGGGTTTCAACTGCATACAAATTCAACACCGAGAGCAATGAAATTACCAGAAACCTCCCCCTTCCGCTTCCTCTTCTTAACTGGCACCGCTTGCACCTCCTCCTCCGCCGCCACTTGCTCCATTGCAGATTCCGTAATTCCGAACAAGCTAGAATCTTCTACCACTTTCTCGCTCTCTATGTTCTTGTTCTGAATCAAATTTGAAAATTTAATTCAACAAAATAATAGAAGAATCGACACTGTGATATGCTTTTCTGAGAAAAAAGAATCGGACCTGGAATCTGGAGAAGTCCCTGGAGAACTTTTTCCGGTTGAAGTTGACGCCGGCGAACAAAAATGAAGTGCCTTCTTCCATGATTGGCGGCGGGTGACAGGCGGCGAATTGGCCAAGGTGAAGTGAAAGCTCTGTTACAATTTGCGGGTTTATGAGTCGCTCGTTAAACCCTCGGCTTTGCTCTTCCCCGCGAGTGCTAACATTAATCGCTGTTTTTGTCAATTACACGGACATCCTTTAACTTTTTGAAAATGATATCTCTGCCCCTAAATTTACTTTAAATTGCATTAACGTAATTTTAATTAGGGGTAATTTATTTCAATTTTTTCGGCACATTGATATATTTTACACTAAAAGAAGCAGGAAGTTTGGCTAAGTTGTAAAATGGGTAACCTAATTTGCTATCGAATTCACCATCCATGAAATTCGAATCTAAAACTTCTCACTTACAAATGAAGAAGAATACTACTAGATAGTAGTACTGAGTAACATGAGTAGTTTATTTGAATATTAGAGTTGAGTCAAGCTATAAAGATATATATATATATATATATATATGTGTGTGTGTGTGTGTGTGTGTGTATTAAGAAGGGGTATTGACTTTAGTTGGAAAGAAAATTGTTTTGTTAACCTTAGTTGAAGGAAACAACCTTGGTTGAAGAGGATAATTATTTCAATTAGTCGTTTTCCGAAAAAAAATAAATAAATAAAAATTCAATTAGTCTATTCTGGAAAATAAAATGATCATTAACCTATGTTGAAATATGAAAATATTTATTGACTTAGACCAGAATTTTTAATTTTTTTGGTTGGAACGGTTATGTTGCACGGACACGAGATGGCAAGTATACGACAATTAAAATAATATATGAATTCAATATGTATATATGTGTGTGTAGGGATGGATTCGTGATATTATTTTTTTTTTTTTACATAATTTTTGAACTAAGTTATGTCTGGATGAGTGACTTTCAAGTCTTAGAAAATTTAGACTACATGACGAAGAAATAGACTACAAAATGGCATTAAAATGCAACATGTGCTCATTGCAAAACCATGCATAAGGATTTTGTAAATGACTTCGTCTAAGACCCATTTTTGCAAATACAACTCGAGTAATTCCAACTCGAGAGGATGCCAACATTTTTTTTATTTTTTTATTTTTTATTTTACTTAAAGAATACAAAAGACAGCATTGTTTTGTAATTCCTGAATTTTTAACATTTTAAACAAAGAAGGTAGTGTAAAAAGAGAAAAATGTGTGCGATTATCATTTTCTTTTGGAACAATAAGAATTTCTATGGACAAAATTGTAAGAATTTCTTCAATCGTGTGAGAAAATTTTGGAATCTCTAAAATCAAAGGATAAATCATAAATTGTAATCGTTTTCCTCATATTTAACGAGAAACCCCTTCATCATCAAAACTTTACATCTCTTACAACAATTCATCATCCATGGCATACAAGCATGGAAAGATGCAAGATAAGAATCGTTGGAAACCCCATGCATCAGTCTGCCTATTCATCTAGCCCATAGTCCTCCCCAAAGTACTTATCCATCAGACTATTCGCCATATTTCGCAAGTCCTCGTTTTCATGAAACTGAAATCTTTCCATCGCTTCGATCCCATTTTCTTTCTCAACAAGCTTTGGGCCCTCACCGTTCGGCATCCCTCTCAAAACCTGCATGAACTAGCAATATAAGAACCACCACTTGTCTTCTTTTCTAAGAGAGGATTTATATTGTGGTTAAGTTGTCGAGGATTTTCATTACTCACTCGGGAGTGGCAAACTTTCATTTACGGTACACCATTTCATACCAATTTATGAAAACAATTGTACCTACTGAATCATTCAGTAGTCACATAACCAATTTTACTCTGAACCACATTCTGTAAACTCCTCCAAAAGTGAATCGTATAGTGGGAAGCCAATGCTTCATAGATGTTTGCTTACCAGTTCCGTGAATTGTAGCCCAAGTCTTGCAGCTTCAATATCAGCAGAGTTAACCAAATCAATGAAACCAGCAAGGCATCCTCGACCAACAAGTGAAACCAAGTGCTCCAGAATAAAGTTCGGTTTTCCATCACATTCTGTAGGTGAAATAGGAAGAACACAGAGGTTGCCTAGTACATATGCTACTTCCTTTCTTATATCAAATGGGGCTGTGGAAAGGAGGCGTAATAGCACTGGCACCGCATCACTTGAATATATTAACTGCTTGTGCTCTACAGAACCAGCCGCTATATTAGATAGCACCCAAGCTGCTTCCTACATTAATGTAAGTTGAACTTTGAATAAGCATGGGTGAGTAAAAGATCTATCTCATAACATTAGCGACAAGCTTATATACCTTCTTCAGGACCCGGTGCTCACTATTCAAGCATTTCACCAGGACTTCAATTATGTTTCCTGAAAATTTCATCATTAACATATAAATGAACTTGTCTTATAAATATGTGTTCAGAACAGTTACAGTTTCCCATCAAAGGGGTAATGGACTAGCCTGTGATTTCATGCGCAGGAACGATAAGAGCTTGGGTTGTCTGTGAATCACCAGCTATAAGGTTACCTAAACTTCTTAGCACCTAGACGGAACCCAATTGTCAGTACGATCCATATACTAGAAATATTAAAGCATCTCAAATCCATGTTTTAAACTTTTACAATGCCATCTCCTCATAAATGGATCAACTTAAGATGGTACATCATATATCACATGAACTCTGAAGATATGATACACGATAACTAAAGGATCACAGTTTTTGCTCAACAATGGAACCATGACATACTTCTCTAAATTCCCTTGTCAATCTCACAATAAGAAAGATAGAAGGGTATATACAAACATGTAGTATTTGATGTTCACCTCGATTTCATCATCAGGATAAATGTAGAAGCATCTTATAGGTCAAGAAACACATAGAATCTGGTTTTTCTATTGGGTTAGGGCAGGGTAGGGGATATTGGCACTCGACATACAACTCGCATGTGGTACAAAATTTCAAGAGAAATAGCCAGAGGGTAGGTTTCTGCAGTGGGAACAAGTACATCCATACAGATAACAAATAAAGCATAGCAAATGATAACTGGAACTAGTACAGCCATTAATCAAATAAAACAATCAAAAAGGTAAATTGTTATAACCTTCAATTTGATACATATAGTTGCTCCATGAGCTCTTATTGAAAGGAAGAGAAGGTCAATAAAGAACTTATGTATACTTTTAAATTCCACCTTACCGGAATAAGCAACTGCAAACTATTGGATGTTGCCAATCTCTCCACAAGCAGTTGAAGGACATCACTCTTCACTAGGATACTGGTGGCAAGATTTGAAAGGGCTGAGAGATACACAACCACCCATGCTACTTCAGTTGCTAACTCATCATCTCTGAATTCAAGAACAAGTTTATGGTACACTATCATCATAAAGAAAGGCAGTCCAAAATTTTAATGACAAGAAATCAAGATGACCAGAATTAACTATAGTGTAAATGTAATCTACTTAGATTGAAGAACCACAACTTACGCTTTTCTCAAGTGTCGAATAAGTGCATCCAATACCCCATCAACTCTAATGAGCTCCGTTGCAGCCTTTGGATTAGGTCCCTGCATATTTAGCAACTGAGGTTATGTTATAAGTTCTTCTCAAAGATGATGTATAAGTCCACATTGATGGTGGTACGTTACCAAGAACCAAAAGAAAACAAAGTGAAAAACGAAAAGAAAAACACACAATATTGGTGCAAAAGCAAGGGGCCCTGAATGTCACACTAATTTCCAGGTAAGAATGGTTACTCAGAAATGGGGCAAAGAGGCCACAGAAGTCCAAAAAGAGCTCGAATTGTGAAGAAAATGGCATGGTGCTATAAAATTGTTCATGAGGTGAATATTTTAGCACCTTGATTAGGTTTGATAGTGCCCAAGCAGCTGTTCGCACAGTTGAACCCTTGTTTGGAAGCATCATTCTTGCAAGAGGTAGTAATGCACCTTGAGATAGCAAAATACTTCTCAGCTCTTCCCCTTCACCAGCAACGTTTCCCAATGCCCATGCACATTGCTCAGCAACAGGCAGGGAACTTTTTTCTGCAAAAGACGTGCAACTATAGATGCAATATCAAAAGCAGCCATCTGATCAGACAGCTTAAAATTCTGCACTAAGTATTGCATGCCAATGTCTCACTTTGAAGTGGTACTTCAAAAGGTTAGGTGGTACCTTAAGCACTACCGACACCAATATCACATTACATATGCAAAGTATAGAGCCAAAAATTTTGATATAACATATCAGCAAAGATAAAGAAAATTAAACAGGAGAAAGTAATTGTTATTGCGATCTAAAAGGAGCACACAAGACATTACCAACCTCCAAGATGAGCAATAAGCAATGGTAAAGCGGGCAACAAAGCTTTTGTTTCCTCAGGTTTCCCTGCTGCTATGTTCGTGAGGCACCAAGCCGCCTCAAGCAACTGCATTATATTAAAAAAAAAAAGGTGAACGAGGCAGAATATATCCTTAATTCTTACTCAACAAGTTTCTTAATTCCAAATGATTTCTGAAAACATTCCCTGGCGTATGATACTTTAGTGACCAAACTCCATAGGTGTGTCTGATGGGTTTTTAGAAACCAGAAGTTCTGAAAGCTGCTAATTACTATGGAACCTAACAGAAAATAACATAAAAGTTCCTTCTTTCCCCTTTTTCCTTGAAATAAAGTTCCATACAAGCACTACTTATCAAGTCTATGCTAAATATACAAATTAGAATAATACCAAATGAAACCATATTATACAAAAGGTTGGCTCAACCTGCTCGTCTTGAGAGCCAAATGAAAGACATTGCACTAATAAAGGTATTACTCCAGCTTTAAGGGCAGCTTCAACAGGAGGGAATTCTGATCTTGACAGTAAGCGTCTGAGTTCACGAAGGGCACTCACCCTCTTTTCCAATGCACCTTTTCCCCTACAAAGTACACAACGACAATGGTGTTTAATGGGGTTGCTTTGAAGAAACCATTGAACGGTTTCATGTTTCATATCTTTCGATGAAGTGTTTCATGTTTTCACAAAATTGAGCCTGATGTTCCTCTAAAATTCTCACAGTATTTATGCAGACAAATTAAATTCACATACTGATATGCAACCGCAGACTTCAACCCTTCCACTGCTGAAGAAGTTTGAGCCTCCAAGATGGATTGCTCTTCATCAATGATCATTTCACTCTCAACCGTATCATCACTATCTCCGCTAATCCCCACTCTGCACAAGCGCTTCGCACGCACTAGCAACTCTCTTCTTTCCTTTCCTATAGAAACTGCTTGCTGCCGCCTTCGCTGTCCCGCAACAGTGGCAACTAAATTTTCCACACAATCAGCATTGTACACAGAACAACTAAATACAGCTCCAACAAAATTAACAAAAATTACAAGTAGTCCGCTCGCTCGCAAGATCAATGATAAAAAGTTCAAAACTTATGTATCTAATTAATTGTTAAGAGGTTTAGGACCTCAAAGAACAGAACCCAATTTAACTAATCCCCTCTTTGTTCTTCCTTAACATTTAATTGCTTGATTTTCCGTTTGGATGCCGAGAAAAAAAGCTGGGAAAATTAAAGAATCAAACACTGAATTGAACCGAACCCACAAACCACAGAGACCCAATACAGAATTCAACATAAATTCCATGAAAGTTTGATTTTCCAATCTATTTCCTTAATTTATGAGCAACCCAATAGCGTTGAAGAACTTACCCGAGGACTTGATAGGGTCTCTTCTATGGGAAGCCATACTCTCATCCGCCATTAGAGAGATAGAGAGTTCCGAAACTAGCTTAAAGCCTAGTAGCAGAGAAATGTGCAAATAACGAAAGTGGGGGTGGAAGGGATGGGCGAGGAGAAATGTACAAATTACACTGCTCTTCTGTAATAGGAAGGTTTGAGATTATTAGTCAATTTTTTTTGCATTTTTAATTAACTTTTTATAGTTTTTTAATAATAGCTGACGTCACTGTGATGTCGCATCATGGCTAGAGGGGCTTTTTTTGGGGATGGGCGAGGAGAGTGGGGGTGGAAGGGATTTTGTGGCCCATTACCAGGGGATGGGAGTGGGCTAGAGTTGCTCTTAGGTGGGTAAGGGCAAGACATGAGAGTTGTCCTTACTATTTATTCTAAAGTCTAAATAGGTTTTCGTATTTGGTTTTTTTTTTTTTTTTTTTTGGTGCAAGTCCACACGTTTAGAAATGACAAGAGCAAGGGCTTGTGGGTTTTAGGCAATTGGGCCGCCCTTGCCTGCCTTTTGACAAACTGGTGGAGTTACTCTTAGAGCATAGTAATTTGTTGTTGCTCGTGTAAAAATACATATCCCCTTTTGGTCAGTTTCGGTTTTAGTTTCAGACATTGAATCCATTGCTAATTAAGAGCTCGTTTAGATTTGCTTTTAAAATAATTGAAAACGTTTTTGATAAAAATGTTTTTGCAATCAATCCTTAGTAAAATCAAGTAAATCCTGGAAAAGCACTTAAAATGCTTCTTGGAATAGCACATAACAGGTGCTTCTTGCATAAAGCACTTAAAGTGCTTTTGGAACACAAAAACATTTTCTCTAAAAGCACTTTCAGCTATTTTAAAAGCACATCCAAACGAGTCATAACCCTGTGTGTTAAGGCAAACCTATGGAAATACCCCTTTATCAATGAAAAATAGACACAATGTAACTTTATTGCATTGGAAAAAAAAAACTATGTTGTGGACCCTCTTTTTAGTGGATTATCTTGGGAAAAGAATTAATATTTGTTTAATTCTTTTCAATTACTTTTAGTAATAATGAAACTATTTTGTTCGTAGGAACAAAAAGAAGCAGATCTATTCTACACCCAATAAGTACCAATACGCAATGGTAAGGGAGTTGATACCATTTTATATGAGTGAGTGCATATATATATATATATTTGTGTATCATTCAAAAGACTTATTTGTAATAATTTTCCTTTATTCATTTTGTCTTCTTTATCTTTTTTTATGAACTTAATCAATCTATGGATAAAATATGATAAAGGCCAATATAGGGCCTGTTTTGGGATTAAGGTTGATTAAAAAAAAAGCTACTATGAAAAAAAGCTAGAAGTTTTGGTGTTGGTAAACTTTGAAAAACAGCGTTGTTTCAAAGTTGAGGGTGAAAAAAAGCCCAAATCAGGAGATGACAAGAGCCTGCAATTTTTCGCTTCCAAAAGCAGCGTATTTTTCACCCAACACACGGTGAACAGTGTACAAGTTTAATGAAATTTGAATAACCCAAAACTGCCCTCCCTTTCCCTCACCTACGCTCTCACCTTTCCAGAGCTCTCTCGCACGTCTTCACCTCAAGCTCTCTCGCATAACCCGAACCAGAGCGATCTCTCTCGTCTCTCGTTCTCTCGTTCTCCAGGAATCTTTCTCAGTTAGTTGTTGGATTTTTCAAATTAGGGATGGGGAGATTTAGGAAAGAGGGGTGGGAAGAGCAAAGGGATGAGGGTATGGGTGATGGGAAAACAATTGGGGATGGAGGGTGGGGAAAAATTAATTGGGGAAGGTGATATGGTCTGTGGAAAAAATTAATTGGGAAAAAATTAATTGGGGAAAAAATTAGGGTTTGTGGAGGAAACAAAAAAAAATTGAGAGAGAAGTTTGATTACTTATGTATTCGTTTTTTTGAAGACATGTGTTAATTATTTGTGATATTTGATTTGTTTCTGTCCATTGTTCCATGATTGCTTGGTTTTTGGTTTTTCTCAGTGTGTTCTTATGCTGTCTGCATTATCTTTTTTGTGGTATGGTCTAAATTCTGAGTAGAGTTTCCTACTTTCAGTAGTTTGTGCACTCCTGAAGGCCGTCTTTTGGTGCAATCAGATTTTAATAAACAAAGTGAACAACATAATGCTAATTGAAAAAAAAAAACATGAAAACAAGAAAGAAAGGAACGGATGCATAAAGAAAATGTTATGCTATAGGATGCATAAAGCTTGTTTCTTTGTATGGTTATTTTAGTTTTGGGCTATTTGTCACAAACAATCTGAAGCAGAGGCACCTTGTTACTAATTACCGTAGTTTTATGGTATCGGATCCATCCTTCGGTTAAAGTTACTGCTCAGCCTTGAAAGGTGTAAATTGATTAGAAATTTTATTGAGACTTGTGTTCTGCTCTTTTGTCGCAGATGGACGACAATCACCCAACTAGCACACCACGGAATCCTGTTTGTTCCCGTTGGGTATACTTTTGGAGCTGGCATGTTTAAGATGGACTCTGTAAGAGGGGGTTCTCCGTATGGCGCTGGTGTCTTTGCTGGTGACGGCACAAGAGGCGCAAGTGAAACTGAGTTGGCTCTTGCAGAGCATCAGGGGAAGTATATGGCATCAGTAGTCAAGAAACTTGCCGCTTGATAGTGATTTCCGGATTTTAGCATATTTCTTTGCCATCATTTTCCTGTTCTGTTTGTCGATCTAAATGTATTCCTTCTATGATCGTTCTTGGCATTCTCTTGTTACCTATATTGATGTCAGTTCTTTCTTATGGCTTCACTTCGAGTTGTTATATATGTTCAAAAAGATGTAAAGGTTTTTAATTTGTTCTTTCCCTAATTGTTGTTCAATAATTTGTGAATTTGTGGGGTGTGTCATATTGTATACTTTCGGTTTGAAAACATGTAATTCAATTAGCACTTGACATATCAATAAAATTCGCACATTTGTTACGATTGGGGTTGATGAATACTGGTTGATACAAGGGTTGATAAAATTCGCACTTGACATACTGGTTGATACGGATGGGAAGGCACTGCACATGATAATCTAATTAGACTACTTTCAAGTACATTAACAATATTGTACTAATGAATCCTAGCTATTCACTCTAAAATATTTCTATTAAAGTAGTTTGTCATACTAATTAATATTTAAGATAAAGTTTATAAATATTTTTCTTCTAAAAATAAAATATATTTAGTAATTCACATTTATTTGTTAAGAAAATTAAATTAATAGTACATCTAGTAATATACCCTTTTTGATCATTTCACACAGTCACAGCTGTTTTATAAAAAAAGTTTACCAAACACTATGATACTGCTTTTTTTTTTTCCAAAAGCACTTTTACAAAAAAGTTTACCAAACACTTTGCTGGCTTTATTTTACAGCCGCTTATTCTCACAGTACAGCCGCTTATTCTCACAGCAGCTTTTTTTCAAAGCACAGCAATACCAAACCAAGCCTTAGTAGGACACTAAAGGCCCGTTTGTTTTGCTTCACTAGGTTTCACTAGACTAGACTGGACTAGCTTTTTGTCTAGTCCTGTGTTTGTTATCATGCAGGGCTAAGATTAATGAGATTAGCCTGGACTCGCTGGTACTAGCAGCGTCACTAGAGGTTCTTAGCTAGAGTCCCCAAAAACCATGGGACTAGCTAAGACCTGCTTCATTCCTCTGTCGCTTGTTTGCTTCCCTTCGCCAACTCCACCGAAAAACAGGTTTGATTTTCCCAAAAAGATGCTCGATGACTCTACCTTTGAATCACCACGCGCTTATTGCACATACATTAGGAAAGCCTGAACTTTAGCACCTTATGTCGTTGAATCGTCTACTCAACACACCAACTCCCCTAACAGGTCTCAAATCGCGGGGCTTCAGCTCTAAGAAGAGTCTGGGTTAGCCGGATTTGGGGCCCGGGAAGATAATAGTGAATTGACAAAAAAGCAAAAAAAAAAAAAAAAAAAAAAAGAAAGGAAAAACAAAATAGCTCAAGACTTTAGGTTATTCTTGAAGCTCAAGTGCAGGAGAATTAGAGCAAGTTTCTTCTTTTTCTGTGACTTGAGATATGAGGCAGAGAGGGAGAGGGTAAAGAAAAAGGAATAAGGGGACTGAGAAAATTGAGGAAACAGAGAGGTTTCTAGAATTAGAATAAATATTAATAAATATGAATTGAATGATATAATATTAGCCAACAGGATCCTCTCCAGATCCTTTTGGTAAGGATCATGGGGATCTATGAATCATGTCCGTTTATCGTACATAGTGTGGAAAATTTTTGTCAAGTACTGTTTATATTTATTTTTAAATAAAAATATTTAAAATAATTTCTGACCGCACGATGTACGATGAACAAACATGATTCACGGATCCCTGGATCCTCACAAAGAGGATCTGGTAAGGATCCAGACTCTAATATTAGAAATTATTATTATTCTATTTTTTAGTCCAACACTATGCCAAACACTTTACTAAATCAATCCAGCTTAGTCTAGTCTAAACCAGTCTAGGTTAGCCTCGAAAGCTAGTCTAATTCGAAATAGTTCAGTGTAACAAACACACCCTAAATCCATTGCTACGCTTTCACATTAAAGTGAGATATAGTACTTAATTTTCTTTTATTTAATGCCTATTGGTGTTCCAAGAGTACATTTTCGAAGGTCTTGGAGAGGAAGGTGCATTGTGGATTAACGTATAGTGCAACTTATTAGATTTATTGAGTCATTCTAATCAAATAACGGATTCAAATCATTTTATCGACATGAGTGTTTTATATCGAAAAAAAATTCCAACTATTTGTTTTGAAACCATTTCTGTCTTAACTTATTAACTAACATAGTAGTAGAAAGAATACCATGCTGCATCTGAACTTCAAACGGTTTAGCTTTAACCCTGTTAATGGTTTACATTATTGGTTGATAGAGAATCAAAGTAGATTTACCAATGAATCGCGAAATGCTATGGTTCTTCAATTTTTTTTTTCAGAAGAAATTCGCGGAATCATGCACCTTTTTTTCCGAGTTATAACGAAAAAATGCAGTTGGTCGTATCCAGCCTATTCTTGAAATAAACAACTCGCACACACTCCCTTTCCAAAAAAAATCAACACACCAAGCACTACGCTTAGATTTATTGGATTTGTTGCATTCAAGTAGTGGTCATGATGGACAACTACGTTCAAGATGCCTTCAAAAAGCTTTCTTCTCATCCGAAATCGCCTCCAAAAATCATGAGAAGAATATCTTAGACGTTCGATGAAATAATCTTTCATCATCTGGTCATGACACTATTCTCTATCACGCTGCACAAATGAATACCCTGTGACAGAACCACGATAGCTAGATTAAGCGAGTTTGCAAATTCGGCTTCTTCGTTGTTCATTTCTACATCTGCAGTTGCACGGCTTGCTTGGTATTTTGCCATCTGCATTGCCAAGCTACGCCTTTTTCTATCACCCATTGATGAGATATTGATAATTTTTAGGAAACAAAAACACTTTGAAAGTTGGAAGATTGGTGAATATGTTTTGTGAGGGTTAGACATTCAACATATGCTTATATAGAGGATGATTGAAGGTTTGAGTTTCATGTGTGTAGGTTTGTATTCATGTGTTTCATGTGTTTTTTATGCATTTGGTATGTGTTTCGTGTGTGTCATGTGTTTCATATGTTTGGTGTGTTCTACATCTCTATCATGTGTTTTGTATGTCATTCACATGTGTTTTGTATATGCTTCACATGTGTTCTGTGTGTATTGTGTGTTTCATGTATTTTGTGTTTATACATCTCTATCATGATTTTCATATTCTTCCATAGTGTTTCATGAGTTTCATGTATTGATTTAGTGATTTTTCAATATTTATCGGAATTTAAATATTTTTAGATTAAAATGTTCATAAAATTAATTTACGATACTCTACTTAATTTTTTTGTAAAGTTAATTAAAAAAAATTAGCCTAAATTCATTATTTAATAATTTGGGACTAAAATTTTAGGCCTGAAGAATTGGAGCAAAAAAGTTGTTTCTAGGCTAAAAATTTTAGGTTTTAGGCTAAGGGTTGGATATGGTATAAGGGGGTGGTGTGGACTTAGACTCACAATGGGCTAGTAATAATGTGTTTCAAACTCGTTTTTGGCGTGAATCGAATCTAAGACCTTTCACTTACAAATGAAGAGGCATAGGATTCAAACTCAAAATTCTTTCACACACCCCAAATTACTTCCCCCAAACCATTTAATTTTTTAATATTTTTTCTATCAAGTATTAGTGGTGTGCAGAAAATATTAAAAAATTAAAAAAAAGTGAGAAAAGTAGTTTAGGGTGTGAATATAATTCATCTTTTGGGATGCCTAAAGCTTCGCCGAAATGGTTCCTCCTTTATATATCGAATCATAGATAAAAGAAAGAACTTTGAGCGTCAACGGTTTCTTCAGCTTTCTGGAGAAACAAGCACAACATATCCACAACAAAAGCCAATTATCTTCGGTCGTCAACAATTCTCCAATCCCCACTTTCCCAACTCAATTCCGATCCCATTTCTCAACTCCCCACATCTCCCGCTCAGATTCACTCCAATTCAGATCCGGCGAGCCGCCATTTCTCAATCCCCAACCCCCATAACCTCGGATTCAATCCGGAACCCAAAACCCAGAAATCCTCCGCCTCTCCCGGCGTCTCCGCCATGGCTGAGCCGTCTCTCAAAGCCGTGACGCTGACCCACGTCCGGTACCAGAGAGGCGACCCACTGGGTCACTTCCTCGCTTGGATTTCCCTAATCCCAGTATTCATCAGCCTCGGCGGCTTCGTCTGCCACTTCTTCTTCCGTCGTGAGCTCCAAGGCATGTTCTTTGCCGTCGGCCTCTTAATCTCCCAGGTCATCAACGAACTCATCAAGGATTTCTTCCAGCAAGCTCGGCCGGAAACCTGCGCCCTGCTCGAGATGTGCGACTCACACGGATGGCCCTCGAGTCACTCGCAGTACATGTTCTTCTTTGCCACCTACTTTACTCTTCTGACTTACAAAGGGATTGGGCTCTCGGACACGACGAACAAGTGGGCTGTGATTTTTCCGCCATGGGTTTTAGCTCTGCTGACCATGTATTCGAGGGTTTATTTGGGTTACCACACGGTAGCTCAGGTGTTCGCGGGCTCGGCCCTCGGAGTTTTTCTGGGGGCGGTGTGGTTCTGGGTTGTGAATTCTGTGCTTTACCCGAGCTTTCCGATGATCGAAGAGAGCTGGTTTGGGAGGTATTTTTATATTAAGGACACTTCTCACATACCCAATGTGTTGAAGTTTGAGTATGATAATGCGCGAGAGGCGAGGGGCAAACTGGCTGCCAAGAGTATCTGATTGATGAAAGCGCATTCGGGTACGTGCGATGCAAACATTTCTGTTTGTTTTTTATTCCTGAATTGAGCTGTTGAGTTATACTTGAGATGCTACTCATGTTCGTTTGGTATATGTTTCGGTGAGCTATGATCGAATGGAATGTCAATACTTTATCGTAGTTTAGTGTTGCTTTTTGATTGTCGAATGGAATGTCACTACTTTGTCGTAGTTTAGTGTTGCTTTTATGATTGATTAGTTGATTGAGCAGTGATCGAGTACATTAGGGAAGGAATATTCTTGTTGATTGTTGAATAGAGGAAAGGGAACAGGGATATTGTAGGCTTCTTTCATTTGGTTGTAGCTATGGAGTCATGGACTGAGCTTGGATTTGTGTGGCTTCGTTGTGCTGTTAAAATTTCAACTGTAAACTGAGTCGGTTTTGGTGTTATTCATGACGAAATAAGTCTCAAAGGAGATGTTAGAGTCCTGAGGAAGTTGGAAACAGAAGTGTATATGGGAGAGCGGTCTTTATGAAAGGAAGTTATGACAATACACTAAGTAATTATATGTAATCTCCTATAGAAATCGTAACATCATATCTCAGTGCATGCCGAACCTGGGTTTTTTTATAGATGAGCTTCAGAGAACACCCCTGATGATGGTTGATATGTCTTGTTGTATTGATTTGTTTATGTGCTTAATCCTTTAGCCCTTTAGTTCCGAGGGTGCCTAGCCGCAAAGCTGGCATGAAATGCATATTTAGAGCTTAAAATTATTTGTAACTTAGTATTTAAATGCTCTTCTTTTCTTGTTTTCCAGGTAGGTTGCTCAAGATTTCCATCCAATTATTTGGACTTTGCTTGTATGGACGAGATATTATTCGCTTGGTATCGCTCAATTCGAAAAATAATTATACTTGGTATCGCTCAATTCTAAAAATAATTATACTAGAAGCCAGTTGGACGGATCGTATTTACACTGCTCTTCTGTAATAGGAAAGTTTGAGATTATTAATTACTTTATATTGACAATTGTTTACATGTTTGTTCAGCACACATATTCAATATAATTTTGCGTAAATTGCCAAGCACACTTTTCCAATTGCGTGGCTCGTGAATTTGTGAATGCTTTATGGTAACTTGTAGGCTCAACTACATTATGTCACTAATCAGCGGTCCTATTTGCGTGGTTTGTTTTCTTTGCATAAATCTTTACATAACTGGTTGTCTGGTAGGCATGCCCTGTGCACGATCTACTGCCACAATTGCTCAGATAGGCACAATTGCCGACATAGACATTTGTTTTAGATGAACCATCATGTCGAATAGGCACAAACGTTTGCAAGTGTCGGGTTTTGCAAGTGAGCAGAAGCCACATTCTGAGGTTATGGACACGGGTCTGTTGAAAGCATAACTCCAATCCGAACTGCGAAAACTTCCATGGTGCGTCGCGGAGACTGCTTGCTCAGAGGGATTTGAGTAAATCTTGCTCAGGTCAGTCTTGAGGTCATTATATTCTCTTGGAATAGGTTGATTTACCTTGACATAGTTTGCGTCAAAGTTGGAATCCCACCAATATAAGGAGACGAAAAAAAGAAACCTTGTGTAACACGTCAAAGAAAAACAAGGGGGTAATCTAAGAAACTTGTAATTAGCGGTTTCCCTATAAATATTACCCTTCTGCGCAGCAGCTATCTTCATCCACGTACGTACCCATCGAATTCCAGCCGGCCCTATCTCATTAGGCATGGAGGAGACACCGAAGAAACTGCTCATACTCTACGCAACTCAAACTGGAAACGCTGTAGAGGCCGCTGAGCGGGTGGGTCGTGAAGCCGAGCGCAGAGGCTGCTGCCCGGTCCACCTCCTTTCCATGGACCAATACAACGCTGGTTGCTTAGCTCAAGAGAAGGAGGGGGGCAGCAGAACTGTAGTAATTTTTGTTGTTTCAACCACAGGCCAGGGGGTTATTCCTGACACCATGAAAGGATTTTGGAATTTTCTTCTGCGGCGAAGCCTAAGCGGGCAATGGCTTCAAGGACTTCACTATGCTGTTTTCGGATTGGGTGATTCCGGTTACCAGAAGTTTAATTATGTTGCAAAAAGGCTTGACAGAAGACTTTTGCAGCTTGGGGCAACCCCTATCGTCGAAAGAGGTTTAGGAGATGAGCAGCACCCGTCAGGGTACGAAGCTGTTTTGGATCCTTGGATGACATCTTTGTGGAATATGTTGAATGAAATCCATCCCAACTACTACTTCCCAAATGGCCCAGAATTTTCTATACCAGATGACAAGGTTAAGGAGGCTCGACCGAAAATTCGGATTCTGTATCATGAAATCGACAAATTGGATTCACAATTCTCCGCCACTTCAGACTTGAATCATCAGGCTGCGTTGTTGCACATTGAAGGGCTCGCAAAATGTCTCCAGGAAAGTTCTCATCTCATGACGAGAATAAGCCGGACTGCTTTCTCAACTTGGTGAAAAATGAACCACTGACTAAATCATCAGGCAGTAAAGATGATAAAGAGGTGCATCACTTGGAATTTGAATTTGTTTCACCTGCTATTGAATACGATGTCGGTGACCTCCTTGAGGTTGTTCCCTGTCAAAACCCTGCTGCAATAGACGATTTCATACTTCGTTGTAATGTGGACCCTGAATCATTCATCACCGTCCATCCTTTGGACGCGGAGAACCAGCTTCTTGGTACTTGTACTATTACCGCTATCAAATTGAAAGCCTTTGTTGAATTGACAATGGATGTTGCATCTGCTTCTCCTCGACCCTATTTCTTTGAGGTAATGCGTATGTTTGCAACAGATGAACATGAAAAGGGAATACTTGAACATTTAGTGTCACCTGAAGGGAGAAGCGTTCTACACAAATACATTCATAAGGAACGGATGACAGTAAACGATGTACTGAAGAAGTTTCCCTCCGTTCAAATCCCCTTTGAATGGCTGGTACAGGTGGTTCCTCCTTTGAAACGAAGAGCTTTCTCCATCTCTTCGTCCCCTTCAGCTCACCCGAATCAAGTTCACTTAACAGTGACTGTCGCGTCATGGAGATCACCCCTTGGACGCAATTGCGCAGGTCTTTGCTCAAACTGGCTAGCAAGGCTTGATGCCAAACAAGAAGTTTATGTACCAGTGTGGTTTCGAAAAGGTTCCCTTCCTCCCCCACTGCCATCTCTTCCTCTCATTCTCATCGGACCTGGAACGGGGTGTGCACCTTTTCGTGGATTTGTGGAAGAAAGAGCCATACAAAGTTTGAATAGTACAAGAACTGCTCCAGTGATGTTCTTCCTTGGCTGCAGAAATAAAGACAAGGATTTTTTATACAAAGACTTTTGGTTATCTCATTCCGAAAATGGTGGGATTCTTTCGGAAGCAAAGGGTGGAGGGTTTTATGTTGCCTTCTCAAGGGACGACCAGTCACATAACAAGGTCTATGTGCAACATAGGATGCGGGAACATAGCAAAAGGGTGTATGATTTGTTGAGGCATGGAGGAGCTGCTATCTACGTTGCCGGTTCGGCTACAAAAATGCCGGCAGATGTATTATCTACATTCGAGGAAATTATTGCTCAAGAGAGTGGGCTTCCACAGGAATCAGCAGTGAGATGTCTTAAAGATATACAAGCTGCTGGCAAATACCATGTCGAAGCATGGAGTTAGTTGAGCATCGCTGCCACTGTCACTAGCTTTGAATTTGGGGAATTTTAATGAAAAGCGCCAGGTAGTATTCACTTTAACGAAAAATCATATTTTTATCCTAAAAAGTCAATCATGGTACTATTCACTTTACCTTTATTTTGTCTTATTGTTAAAACTCAAAGTTTTCAAACCATTTAGTTTTCCTTTGAATGTGTCATCCGTTGGCGGGAGTGCTATAGTATCACATTTTCCTTACAACTATTGAATAAAGTTGTGATTTTCATTTTTTGGTTAAACGTTAACTTAATCCTTATGATTAACATGATTTATTATGAGTCGTATATTTATTTGTTACAGTTGATTAACTAAATGACTCTAATTTTAATTGATTTATAATATGAGTGCTAAACTATGAATAATTCGCTTGCTACAACTGATTGAATGAACCATGTTGAATCAAAAGATTACAATCTTAAAACGTATTAGATGGTTAAATAAAGATGAAAATGTTCTCTAAAGAAAAAAAGAAAAAAAAAGGTTAATCAAATGTATGGATTAAAGCTGGATATTAGTTTTACCAATACAACGGTAAATTAAAAAGTACGTACTAAGGTTTACTGATATTTTTTATTATTCGTAGTTGAGAAATCTTATAAATAGCAAGAACATTATACTTTTGAGCGTAGTGACCGTTGTATGACTTATTTATCTAATCACATTCCTCTAGCACAAGAATATGTTTTAAGTTGAAAAATTGATGGGCCCATTTACACACTCTCATTATTATTTCCTCACATACTTGTTTTTCCAATATTACCCCTTCTTTCTCCTTCCCACTCTAACCTTTTTTTTTTTTTTTTTAAATTGTAACGGTATTCCACTATAAAGAAATAACAAAAGATTGAGTTAGGTCATACAATGAGTCTGCCACAAAATATTGAATTCCACACACATATATATTGTTACCTTACACTAATACTTGTCTCCTGGATGAGCTTTCTAAAACCCATAAAATGCCCTCCCTTAACTAAATTCTAAAGGTTTGTCAAAATAAAAAAATAATTAAAAAGAATAAAATTTGAAGTGCAAAATTTTATATACTAAGGAAAAAATTGTAAAATAAATAAAATACATAATGTACCCACATGGGTAGCTCGCAAAACTGGAGTAATTTCTCAAATACACATAGAACGTTATGTGGCGATGTTACCTTTTACTAACACATGCACTTGTTTTTTCATTATTGTAGCTTAAGGTGAGGCATATCAACATTGTTGTTCACCATTATTATAAATTAGCTACAGTAAAATTTCTAAAGTAAATTAAGTTGGGGCCAAACCAATTTTATAACTCACAGAAAAGGTGTAGTTAAAAATATTATTTATACTCTTTTATCTTTACTGAATGTTGTAATTCTTAAATAGGATTCGTGAGGATAACAATATGGAAATAACAAAAGTTTCATGCCTGAAGTTGTAAGCATACTTGAGAAGTTAGAAACATTTTGGTTTCAACAAAAAGGTGTCAATGTTGATGAAGTATACGTACCCACAAACTCCCAGATGTGACATCAACTTTAAAAACTAAAGTATTGTCCCAAACAACTTTAGAGAAATATTTTAGTTCATCTTAAAATTTTATTTGTAATATTGCATATCTTTTTACTCATTGACACTTATTACCATTTGGGGGCGTGTTTCTTTAAAATGGGGGCATTTTGATATAGATGCTTCGTTTTTTATTTCGTTGATTAAACATCTGTTATTTTTAAGAATTTGATTAAACATTTTATATCTTCTATAACTTTATTGGAGGTACGTTTAATTATATTTGTACTTTTAATATGTGTATATTTGATTTTACGATACATTTGGATTTCTAGCATATTTTGTTTATTGGTACATTAGAATCTGAACGTAACAAAATGATCAGTACGTTTATTTTCAACTGTACCACAAGTGTTAAACGGATTTTTTTTGTATAACCATACATAAAATTTTAACACACTAATGAATTTTCTTATGAAAGCATTAATGACTTCATTACTCTTTTTTTTTTTTTTGAGATAATGAGGAATTAGTTAATAATATTTTTAATAAAGCCAAATTAATAATTTTAATAAAGACACAAAATTCTACTTAGTCATACGGTTTAGTCGTGTTCTTTTTTATTTGTAAGTAAGAGATCTTATGTTCAATTCTCGTCAAAGACGAATTTGATATATTAAATAAATAGAAAAATGCTGAGTTAACAATTGACCAAAGCATCTTAATCAAAATTTGTACAGGAACATATGATTCATTCGCCCTACTATCCTCCTACGGAGCAATTCAAACTCTTAGTAAGGGTAGGCTAGGGCTCAGGCGACTTATTCTAACTTCCTACCAGGCTTACCATCTTAGTGCTATGGTATCAAACCAATCTAATGAGAAAAACAGAAACTTGTAAGTGGCTAAAAATAGTGTGTGTTAGTATAAGGAATTAATCACTAATAAGTTGTCATCTGAATCTTACACATTCTTTGTTAATTGAAAACATTTGGAAATTTCTTTTCCATTTTTTCTTTGTTTTTGATTTTTTGATTTTATTTTGAATTTTTTAATTTTTTGATTTTTTTGATTTTTTTTCGTGCAGTTCATTTTAAAAAAGCATAAATAAATAATTGGGCGCCAAGCCGCCAAGTAATAACAAAAGCAGAAGCCCACACCGCAATTCACAAATCAGAGAGTCGGAACCGGAAAATAAATTCACGATAAAAAGTAGCTTGGAGAAGAGAGCTTGAAGTCATGGCGAATCCGGCTTCGATCAAACCTGTGAGTCCAGCTTCGTTTTCTTTCTTTTCTCTTTGATCTTTCCTTTTCGATATTTGCCGCTGAAATTGCGTTTCGGTTCTTGCGATCTTGAGTTGATTTGTCGCTGAAATTTGAGTTTCTGTACTTGCGATCTTGAATTGATTCGTCACTGAATTTGATCTGTGCTTTAAATGTGTGCTGCTGCTGTTGATTCATCGCTGACATTTGCGTTTCGTTGCTAAAATATGATGCTGCATTGTATTATTTTTGAGTTGTAGTGTCGCACTAGATTGCGGTAATCTTCGAAGTTTGCTTAGGGTTTTGCTCTTCTCTGTTCTTATCTTGCATTCTATAATATAATTACTCTAGTATCACCGATGTTTTCCGTCGATCTTGAGGTCTTTGTTTGAGATCTTTGATTCTTGCAAGTTCGTGGAACTACGACGGCTGTGTTCGATTGAATGCAATTTCACCAACACGAATTTGAGTTTGATTCTTAGAGATAATGCTTGAATTAATTTGTGCGTTAGCGTTGATCATGGATTTGTTGAACATGTCCAATCGTGGTAGCTGCTAATTAGTCGATTTCATTTTAATTTGGTCTCTTCTTTTTATGTAGGTGGATTTGTAAAAAATTGAGTTAGAAGATGATGGTCTGATTGATGAGGATAGTTTGTTGACAGAGGAGGATAGGAAGAGACCGGTTCTACGTAAGGAATCGTGGTTCACAAATTATTTTTCTCTTTTTTTTTTGTGAATTTTTTCCAGAGTTTGTCAAAAAGTGGAGTCAAGTGTGATTTTCGCTCTGTACTGAGTAATGTGATTTTGCAGCTGTTGCAGTTACAATCCCAAGTAAACCACCTTGCAAGAAAGTAGAGATGGTAGTCTCCCACCCCAGTAGATTTGAACATTTGCAGCTCGCAATGTGGCAGTGCATTTTAAGTATATCTGCTCTTTTGTTTAATTTGTACAATCTGCAGTGTGGACTTGGGGATGCTTTTCGATGCTCTGCATGTCCTGTTAAGGGTATTCCTCCATTCATACTAGACAAGAAGGTATGGTTGGATTCAAATCAATCATTTTCTCCCACTGTCTCTCTGCCGCTTCTCATGGTAAATGTTTCTCGTTTGGAGGCAGGCTGTGCTGTTGATTTCACCAATTTCGAGAGGCATTGTGACTTTGAAAGAGTATGCACTGTTATTTCTGATAAATCTGCTTTTTAAGGACGTCTTCCGCTATTCCTTCCCTTCTGTTTGCTCTTTGTATTTCCCTTAAAGGCATAATCTGCATTCTGCAGTGCAAAAAAGAGGATGCTTTTCGTTGCTCTGTGTGTCCTTTTAAGGGTCTCCCTAGTTTGGAAACAGGCAATAAGGTATTTGTTGGATCAAACTCAATCCTTCCCTCCCCTGTCCCTCTCTTTGCCTCCGGTTTCATGTTTAATGTTTCCCTTTTCCAGGTACATTTGTCGGCCAAGTTCAGTGAACCAGACAGCTAGACTTGTTGGTGCCGTCTGCGGAATGAAGTTTTGGTACAGAATGGTCAACTATGTGATGTTGAATGGTCCCAGATACTACTACTATGTTGTAAATTCACTTTCCCAAATCAACAATTTTTACCGTAGATAATTGGTAGAAACATATCGTACATGTACTCAGGCGATAGAGATGTGGGCATGTATATAAATAAGCAGGCTTTTCAGGAGCAGGTGGTGTTGGATTTGCCCAGTTACATCTGTCGAGAATGGCTTTTGTATATGGTTCATGAATCTGTGAACGCTTTAAGTTTCTCTGAAAATCGTATTGCTTCACAGTTATCCTGTGTGCTTGACTACACTATTTCACTAATAACCAGTCATATTTGCACGTGTTCTGTTTTGTTTGCATAAATATTTACTTAACTGGTAGGCGTTACTTGTGCACACGAGCTCATACAGAAGAAAGATTCTTAGCTGCTACCGGTTGTATGTAGGTACGAAAGCCCTTGCTTGGATCAAGTGGTTCCCAAAGAATAAATTGGGGCTTAATGTTTTATAATCCTCAGATTCAATGCTATTTAATTGGGTACTTAATGTCGGAATCATGTACATGATGTCTGCTAAAACAGCCATGGATGAGACTCTAAGAATTGGGCAGGAGTAAAAATCTGAGTTTAATGTTTGGTATCGCCGCTTTTAACTTACTCGTTAGATGATCATTGTTCAAGACTCCAACCAACAACATAATTTGGACTGCCACATCTACGACCATGTCATGACTCCAACAAAGAGGAGTTTATCATCAAGGACTTAAACTATTTGGCATCATCTGGTGTACCCTTATCTCACTGATCGACTACTTGTCTTCTTTTTTCACCATATCTGCATCATCATACTCGGAACAGATACACTAAACTTTCCTTTAATGCAGTCATCTCCTTCATATATTCTAAGTTTCCCAACCACCAACAGAAGAGGAAGAGGAGGGTTGTCGTGGAAACTGTTTCCGTTGCCAGGTGAAGGACATCCAGGGTTGTGCCTTCTTTCATTAATTTTACCGGCTTCTCCACAAGGCTAAAAGAAACCTTGTGTAACACGTTAAAGAAAAACAAAGGGGAAATCTAGGGAGCTTGTAATTAGCAGCTTCCGTATAAATATTACCCTTTTGTGCAGCAGCTACCCTCATTCACGTACCTACTCTCGAATTCAAGCCCGCCCTATCTCATTAGACATGGAGAAGGATAGACCGAAGAAACTGCTCATACTCTACGCAACTCAAACCGGAAACGCTGTAGAGGCTGCTGAGCAGGTGGGTCGTGAAGCCGAGCGGCAGAGGCTGCTGCCCGGTCCACCTCCTTTCCATGAACAAGTACGACGCTGGTTGCTTAGCTCAAGAGGAGGGCAGCGGAACTGTGGCGGCCGATGCTAATGTAACCATTCCTATTTTAACAATTTAATCTTTCTATCGTGTAACAAAAGGGAATCTTAATGTATAATACATTACTTGCTGAATAAGAAATTTAAGTAATGTCAGAAGAAATTGACTAAATTAAGACCAATCATCCTTGGCGAAGTATGTGATAGGATTTTTAGTACCTACAAAGAGAAGGTTAAAATCATACAAAATACTTTAACACTATGTTTGGATGAGGGAAATAAACATAGAATTTTGGTAAAAGTTAGAATTTATAAATTGACATGCACCAATTCTCTTGTTTGGATTCATAAATATAGAAATTTAGAATTTCCGCGTGGAAAAAAAACTTGGAATTTGGGACCTCTAAATCCCAAGTTCAAATTCCATGTAAATAGGTGTCATTTCTCAATTTCTATGATTGATAGTTTAAAAATAATAAATTCTGTATTCAATTCCATGTAAACAAGGAAATTTACAAATTCTAGAAAATAAAATCTCGTCATTTCAATTTCCGTCATTTTTAAATTCCTTAATAATTTTAAATTTCTTCACCCAAACATAGTGTAAAGAGTACAAGGACGTTGTAGTATAGATGCTATTGCAAGGTCGTTCTCCACAAGGACTATTTAAATAATTTATGTAAAAACAATTCCTAATTAACTACTTAAAACTAAAAATTAAGAAAGGAGATTTTGAATTTGGGTAATATTAAAAACGAATTTTAATTAAAAACAAATAGTAATTTCGCCCAAAATTAATACGATTAAAAAAAAAGTTTTTAAATACCAATTTATAAAAGCACTAGAGTTTCTCCAACACCTAGCAATCCTATGTATTTTTACCAATTACTCATGAACTACACATGCCACTTTGAAGGTTAGGTTTTCCTAATATATATTCTACTTGGAACCTCCAACATAGAACGTATATCTAACATGCAATCTGTCCGGACATTCTGATCAAATATGAACATGAGAGACTCATTATGTTTTGTGAAAACCCTTTGAAAAACCATGCAACCCTTAAGACGTGATGTTCATCTTAAGTGAAATTACAATTATCAACCACAAGAAGCTAGCATCAATTTCATTGAACATTTCGACCAAAATTGCATCAAATTACTTTTCTAAAGATCCTAATGGTGATCAAGTATTAAGACAATTAGATAGTTTAAAACGGTGATCAACAATTCAAAGCATGCATGCAATCAATCATAAGCAATTAAATAAAAATTACATATTCATGCTAAGGCTCAAGGCTTTGCCATAGCAAAACGGATTAGTTACACATATGCATAATTAAAATCATAGAAAATATCATTATGAAGAAAAAGAATGAAAACACCTTAAAGTAAAAGTATGAAAATCTCTACGCTTGGCCAATTTCCTCTCTCAAAGAACACACAGAGAAGAACCACCAATAATAGGGCCGGCCAAGCTTATTTAACCTAGTAAAAATTAAATCCCCCTACCAAAAGGTCTTCCAATCAAACTAGGAAACTAAAATAACTAAAATAAAATAGGAAACATAACCCTAAATTAAATGGTAAAATTCGCCTAAAATCTGCATAGCCACGTTTTGGACCCATATCTGCTCCATAACCAGTCCAAAATAGCTGGATTTAAAGTTTGAAATATTCTGAACACTTCTCCAGAAGGCCACAAATCCATCACATATCATCTTGAGCTCCAAAAACGCAATTGAAACCCAGAAACGTCACTTTCCAGCACCGCTCACTGCTCTTTCCATAACCAGAAAATAACCGCTTGGTAGAAAAACCCCAAACTTTGATACGAACAAGCCAAGAGACACACGAACGTCCTCCAATTTGAATCACTCTAAAATTCGCCCGTTTGATCATATTTTGCTCCTGATGAAGTCAAATGTCCTATATTGAAAATATAAAGCGAAGTATCAAAATTCTATCAAAATAATTATCTAAACATACTAAGAGTAAGGTGAAATATATAATATGAAATTGACTCATCAGTATACCATCCCTATCTTCAACACATCATCTTCGCATTCTTTAAAAGTTCTTTCAAGCTCAGCCCTAGTCACCGCCATCTCTTCCTCTCATTCTCATTGGACCTGGAATTGGGTGTGCACCTTTTCATGGATTTGTGGAAGAAAGAGCCATACAAATTTTGAATGGTTCAAGAACTGCTCCAATGATGTTCTTCTTTGGCTGCAGAAACAAAGACAAGGATTTTTTATACAAAGACTTTCGGTTATCTCATTCCGAAAATGGTGGGATTCTTTCGGGAAGCAAAGGGTGGAGGGTTTTATGTTGCCTTCTCAAGAGACGACTGGTCACATAAGAAGGTCTATGTGCAACATACAATGTAGGAATATAGCAAAAGAGTGTATGATTTGTTGAGGCATGGAGGAGCTGCTGTATACGTTGCCTGTTTGTCTACAAAAATACCGGCAGATGTATTGTCTACATTCAAGGAAATTATTGCTAAAGAGAGTGGGCTTCCACAAGAATCAGCAGTGAGATATCCTAAAGATTTACAAGATGCTGGCAAATACCATGTCGAAGCATGGAGCTAGTTGAGCATCGATACTTGTACTGTACAAACTAACTTTAAATCCGTTGGCGTTCGACAACTATGTATAGGATCAAATTTTTCCGTACAACTAGTTGTGATGTTTTTTTGGGTTAAAAGCTAATAAACTCATGTTTATTAACCTTCATAATTCACAAACATTTCTTCCAGCTCACAAATGATCCAACTATTATTTGTAAGATATATTCTGAAATCATAAGTGTGGAGTAAAAAATAATCAAGAGGCGACATGTGGATTTTTGGGCAAAAAAGACAAAATTACCCTTGAGGAACATCAAAATTTCTATGCGCGAACAGTGGGCAAACATCCCACAATCAAGTCAAAAGTGTCCAAAATAGGTATTTATTCAAAACCTATTTCATCCGTCTTCTCCACAAGGGTAAACCCCAAAACATTCCTTTTAAATTATGTTAATTGGCTAATTAATGGATTTATTACCTATTTAATCTATTAATGGCCAATTAAACTACCAATTACACCCAAAAAACACACAAGAGGCCGGTCACCTTCTCTCCCAAGGGAACCGGCCATGCCTTATATATTCTACCTCATTTTCTCTAAAAAGCTAAGTTTTCACTCTTGCTAAACACTCAAAAATTCTCCAAACACTTTTCCCTCAAAAATCTGACTTTGGCATCTGAGGTTCTTCGGCCAAAGCACCCCCCCACCAAATTCATCGTGAGCGCGTAAGGTTTTTGGCCTTGACTTAAGGTGTTATTTGTTTTGTAGGTGCAATTTTGTCCAAGAACAAGGAGGAAGAAATTTGCATCCACAAATTGGTGCTTTCATTGAGAGTTGAGTCCAACACTTGTAGAAGACTCTCACATCCAAGGTTTTCTATTTTCTTGTCCATTTGTAGATTTTTTGTACATTCTTATTTTTAGAATTTTTTTATTTGCAAAAATTCGTTGGTAAAACATAAAAGAAAAGTACAATGGCAAGGAATTTGGAAACTTCAACGAACAAAAATTCCAATGTTCAAGAGATGGGACCACGGCGATCCACGAGGCTAAACATGAAAATAAGTGGAGCACCACCACCACCACAAGGCTCTACCATGGCAACCACTGCGGTGGCCACCACGGTAGCCACCCACGGCGAGGTCCATGGCGCCACCACCACGGCCCAAGCCGTGTCATCCAAGCTTGCTGTGCCATCTAAAGCCTATGGCACCAAGGCCACGGCCCAAGCCGTGTCATTCTAAGCCCAAGGCAAACCGGCCCGTTCCGCCTAAACCACACGAACCTAATGCGTTGCCAAACCGAGCCTAGCTTTGCACCCACGTGCGCCACACGCTGAGCAGCCCACTCTCGTGGCCCAACCTGC